AAAAAAAAATTGGACAGTCAAACAAAAACACCTTCATAAATATTCACATCAACTGCTTTGCATAATATTTCAAGACTCAGAAACAGCTTATTTTCGGTTCCTTCCTTGCATTAGTTGACTGATAAACCATGCAATAAAAAGAATTAAAGGTGAAGAAACGAGACCCAATATTCAGACTTCTCCAACTATCAACTCTCTGTTATATTCATGTCATCCAAAAAGATCAAACACTAAACGTTCAAGTGTGCGGATACGAATATAAAATTAAAATGCTACATTTATTTTCACGCGATCATTTGTATTTTTCGGGGGAATGGCATCTCGGTAGATAATTTTCTCATCCGTTTTTCCGATAGTCAGAAATATTACTGAATTTTTCTCTTTCCTTATGTTCAATGAGGAAAAGGTGAGCTCTCCCAAGCGCAAGTTTTAGAGGTATCGTGCAACAAATCAAACATTCAGGCAAAGCCATGCAGTAAAAAAAGGAACAAAAAAGAAAATAAACAAACACCGACAAATTTTTAGCGCACTGTTTGCCATCTTTGTAATTTTAATCTACTCATTAACGCCGTGGTGTAAAACTTGACAAAAAAGTAGCCAAAATAACGAAAGAATCGAAACCTGTGTTCGTTGGACAAAGTAACATTATATTTGTGTTTTGGTCGTCTCTTCTTGACCCTTTGCAAAACTGTCGGCACGTATCAAGAGGTGCCGTGTAAACAGTACGTTACAAACAGTCAAAACGCGAAAGGTGAAGCTCAGTATTTTCCTGAAAAAAAAAGGAAGGGGTCGAAAAATAAAGCCGTGCAAAAGGTCGTCATAGGGGGGTTGTTCCGGTCACACAGCGCGGCAGAGCTAACGATAAGTCTTATGCACAACACACAGAAAGATAAAGGGCGATCAAAGGAGGTTAGCGCAACTGCGGTCTGCACCACACTTGCCGACAAGTACTGCTCTCCCTTTTGAGTGTTGTATATCGATACAGCTCTTTGAAATTATATTATTACTACACTTGAAATCAATGTTTACCCATTTTTAATTGAGACGGTCGTCACGACCGCCTATTCAAGAATTTCCCTCGCGGGTCACAAAAAGTTGCTGTTGTCTGTTTGGAAAATATCAGGGGATTTTCTCGGAAAACCATTTCTACCTGCAACAGCACGCGAACGGTAAAGTCACTTGTAAATTTCCAGTTTTGACAGCATTATTTCACATGATTGAAAAACACGAAAAGTAAGCTTTCGCTTTTAGGGTATTCATCCAGATCAAAGGACTGGACTGGGGTTGTTTACCGGATCCGACGAGTCACGACGAATTAGTGGGAGTTATCTTACGTAACTAATATTGGGTACGTGGTTATTTGAGTAGCTTTTTTAACTGACTAACTGCAACACGAGTTAACTTGTATTTTCGTTGAAAAAAAAGGTGATGGACCGATAGAATTAATAAGATCTGAAAACTAAAGGTACCAAATGAAACAAAGAAGAGCAAACACGACCTTGGTTTTTGCAGCCTTTTTGAATCTATTTTGTTTTGACAGCTGCGAAATTGACCACTCATAATCAAGCTTTAAAGAAAACTCTCGATGACGTCATAGTTAATGACATAAAGAAATGTCAGGCCGGGAAAGATTTTGTTATGGACGTTATCCTGACCTCAAGCGTTACCTATTTGTGTGCCAAAATACAGACATGAGAAATTACGCGCTGTTCTGCAACTTGATTTTTCTGGTTCACGTATCTGTGCAAGGTAGGCTTTTTGCAAAAAATATATATTTTATAGCTGTGCCATCCACAAAGAGAGAAATTGTGCGGAACTCCAGTAACACTTAATCACCTACCATTCGCTGTCTTCTTTTTTTTTTCTGTTTCAATGAAAAAGCTGTTTGGAGTTGTAAAATTCGTCGCAGTCAGATTTCTGGTTTGTTCGCAAAAACATTTTTGGTTAACTGGCCTACATTTGGCACGATTGAACGATAGTTGAGGAAATGATTGAAATTCAGTGGTAAATCGGTAATTGTACCTATTTACACATCGCGTATCACCATTTTTTCGCTATCTTCTACAGACGGGAATTAGTCAGTTCCGCTTTCAGGAAAATTTATTTATCGCATCGTGATAAGAAGGAATTACGTTGGAAAACAATCAATGGAAAACACATGATTGGATTGCATATGGCAGATTTTGGCGCACTTCTCTTTCCACGATATCGTACGATCTGTGTGATGACAAACATGCAATAACAAGCATGTACACCCCAAACGGTTCCATGCACGTTGCAGTGTTTCGCGCAATGCTTTTCTCGTGTTATTTTTCTGGCGATGCAGCATCTCCTGAATCAAAATTCAAAGGACGTGACTCAGAAATTAAAACAAAATTATAAATATTTTGATCTTATGTTCTCCCCTAACTGGTACTTTCCCCAATTTTAAACTCATAAATCAAAATATCCAAATTAACATTTCATGATGGAGTATTTGAAAAAATAATTTCGACTTGGTCCACACGAGTTCACATCTGCAGCTATGTCATCTAAATTCACTTCGAGGTCAAACTTTCGCATATGGAAACGAAACTGCCTCTTCTAAGTTGCATTTATTAATGTGGCGTGACACCAACAGGTGATTGTTGTATTTAGAATGCCAGTTGATAGAATCTTGTTTATTTTAACTATCAGCCTTTATTTTAACTTCTGTTACGTTAAATCTTTTTGTTTCACAACGATGTGAAAAGTCCCAGCATCGACTAGGCGTTTATTCTTAACATTAAAGAGCAGGTTATTGCTGAAGCTAACTTGGAGCGGATGTTCTTGTAGACGACAGAACCATTTATTCTAACATACCTGCAACTATGTGATTTAAATTCATTTCGATGCAAAATCTTTGCTTTAGAAAGTAAAATTGCTTACTTCAGTATGTTCCGTTTTTGGACGTTTTAATAAATGCGCCGCCACACCAACAGGTGATGGTATTCATTAAAGATGATGATAGAATCTTATTTATGTTAATTTCTGTTACGTTTAATTATCTTGTTTTACAATAACGGAAAGGTCTCTATGCTGACTAAACATTTATTTTTGACAGTGAAGGGCAGATTATTGTCGATGCTAATTTGAGCCGGAAGATGTTATCTTCTGGTAGACAGAGCCGTTAATTTGTCGTGAGTAAAAGCACTACCGAAAACTTCATCAAAAATGTCACATTTTCGGATTGTGTCACTGAATAAAAGAAAGATGTCATCTAACTTGGCTTTGTGCCCTGAAAAGCTAATACGTTTTAAGTAAAGCTACTGAAATAATAATTAAAGAACTTAAAACTTGACCGCTTGGCACTTTTAAATTAGCAACGCGTAATGAAAAGTACTGAGGATATTTTCGACAGTCGACTTGGCCTTCGTTTGCTTGGAAAAGACAATTGACGACGAAAAGCGAAAAACAGCTGTTGTTGATAGGCATATCTAATGTTTACTGTTTAAAGATCGCCATCCTGTATTGATGTGGACAAGGCCTAGCTGACAGTGCTGTTTCCACTGGTGTCTGCGTTTTAATATTCCCTTAGGACAAATTAAAGAAAAGTTGACTAAAAATGCATGTGGTTTCTCAAGCGCTTCCACCTTTAGTTTAGTCCATTTTTCACTCTTGTAACTTGATGATTAAATTTATAGCACAAATAAATAAACTAAAAAAAAAAAACTGAACTGAGAAGTATTGGATGAGCATTTACAAGGAACTAAGATGATTTCAGATGATGAATCCAGAATTAGAAAATTGGACGAACGCTTCGATTCAGTGCTGTTTCCAAACGTAAATGTAAGGGTCGCTAACGGTGCACTAGAGCGGAGCCCCATATACCTGTCTGTGTTTCTGTCGTTCTCTTTGTCAGTTCGTTCGCTCCTGCATTCGTCCGTCTGTCTGTCAGCCTATCTTTCTTTCTGTCTCTCTGTCCGTTTGACTTTCTGTTTATCTTTCTGTCTGTTTGACCGTTTGCCCCTTTGTTCCTTCTATCCGTTCATGTTTTTTTTTTTTCCATCTTTAGCTTTACTGACCGTCGATCTTCTACCGAAAAATGTCTTTGCCATCAGTGGATCGCGGTATAATTTTACGTGCATCTTTGTCGGTGATAATGGATTGCCTCCTGTCAGGGTGAGGTTTCAACGGAGAAAGGCTCTGCCAAATTTCAGATATGAGTGGTTAGACATTCCAGAAACGGAGACAGTATTTCAAACTAACAAAACAGAAGGTGAGACCAGGTAGAATAACATCTACCTCAGCATAGCCTTAGGTTTTTGGATGACGGGATGGGGAGCGATGGGCTAAAAATTTCGTTTGGATGCCTATGGCTCTCGGGCGGTTCTCTTAGTGGAAATGGTTACTGACTTTGCGGCTCATCACTAAAAACTCATTGCAGTTTTTGCAAAGAGTGTTACTGTTCTTCCCCGATGCGAAGGGAGTCTATTGAAGGTCGGTCTCCGCAGTTATCGATTGTCACACTGGTTTTCAAATCATTTCATTGATTGGTAATCATCAACGTTATATCCTGAGTTGAGGTTTAATTTCCGTGGTCCTTTGCGGTGATAATTGATGGCATAAAACGAAGTTAAAAGCCTGGTTCTGAGGCTAGACTTTGCATGTTACTAAGATACGCAAAAACTCACTAGGAACAAGCACATTAAAGAAAGTGTGAAATAATTTTGTGGAGCATGATTAGGCTTTCTACCTCTGTAAACATAGCTTTTGTCGCAGAATTATGCTCAATAGTCCACATGGAAATATAACATGCCGAAAAATCTTTTCACAGGGAACAAAGTCACGGCAACGTTGCACTATACGAACATTACAGTCGAAGATGATACCTCAAAGGGAAAACACGCATGCACCGGATATTCTTCCAAGGGCGGACAGGAATCCAGATACAGGTTCACCATCCGTGTCACAGCAGGTGAGTCACTTTAGTATCAATAATATGATTAGACAATCACTTGGAAAGTCGTCGTAGACAAAGGCCTACGGGCACCTTGACCATCTCCCGCGAAAGATTTACAACGTCCATGTGCGCGTTTGCTGAGGTCGAGATTCAAACACACCGAAATTGCACGTAAAACAGAAAATGTCTCGCGTTTAAAGATATTTCTCTTTTTCCAAAAGTTTTCATTTTGAAAATTTCCAATCTCAAAAGCCTTATATGATCCAGTAAAGTTAAAAATAACTTTGTCCGCGAATTTGACTCGAAAAGTATCAACATACCGATGTAGATTCCAGCTGGTCATCAACAGAACTATCTTTAAGTGTTTCAAGGTGGTCCTTTCAACCTTTTTGTAAACTCTTGACCAGTGACGAGCCTTTCAAATTATTCGAAGTAATTGAAATAGACTGCGAAAGTGTCTGTTTCGGCCACAAACGGCTCCCAGCATACAGCATAATTGTCAAAATGTTTTTGCACCTCCAACGCGTGTTATCTGAATGACGCAGGGTTTTTTTTTTTTTGGTAGACTTTTGAAATAAAAATATCCGTGGCCTTGTGATTGAGGTGTTGGGTCAGTTAGCGAGTGAATTAGTCGGTCTCTCAGTTAGTTAAACTGCGTGTTAGTCAGTCAGCCGATCTGTCAAAAAACAATCACTTAACAGCGGCTTTCAATTAGTCAGCCAGGCATTCAGTCACTGCAGTGAATTAGTCGGTCAATCAGTCAGTCAATTTTTTTGTCAAAAAGTCAGCATGTCAGTCAGTCAGTCGGTTGGTCAGTGGGTCAGTCATTCAGTCAATTTGTCCGTCAAAAAGTCGGT